GACTTATTGCCTGCCTATTGTGTGCCAGGCACAGAGTTGGGCCAGTGCTGGGAACTCAATAATGACCACCTCGTCGCGACCATGTCTCGAAGCTTCCAGACAAGTGAGAGCCCCAGTGACCCCACAGGAGGCGCTGCTATTTTGCAGAGGTCACAAGGCAAGTGAGGAGGGGACCCTCACCCCTCCTCAGTTCTCAGGCTCTGAGCCTTGTTTTTGTCCCTTGTCGGCCTGGTGCCTGCAGGAGGAAGGGCTGAAGACGACCTCGCCCCGGTGGTGGGGCGGGCTCCTGGGTCTCCCCGAAAAAGCTCCTCCCAGGTCAGGGGAAGGTCTGTGCTTAGTGTCCTGCTCCCCTGGGAGGTGGGGCCCCGGGAGGGTGGGAAGGCATCTAGGCCCTGGGCACTCGTCTCCTGCCTGCCTGGCACTTGGCAAGGCTGGCGGGCAGAGTGCCCCCTTCATGTCCGCCCCCTTCCTCCCTTCACGTCTTCCGCCTCTGCCTCCTCCTGGTCTGTCCCCCTCCTCATCTTTCCCGGGCCCCCCTCCCGGCCCTCCCCCGCTCCATGACTTCCCCTCCTCTTTCTCCCTTTTCCTTTCCCCTCCGTTTCCTCCCACTGTTCCCACCAGTTGGTCTTCCTCCTTCCTCCTCCTCCTTCAGCTTCTTCTCCTTGGAGCTCAGTGCTTAAGGGGGAAGACCAGGTTGACGTGTGAAAATGAGGCTCCATCGCCATGGTGATGCTAATTCACCGAGTTCAAAGGAAATGGCTCCTGTTAAAACTAACAAGCTGGAGCGGGGCCCCAGGAGGGCCCAGTGCCAGGAGGGAGGGAGCCCCATCTTCACTGGCTTCTCACACCCCCACTCCGCCTGGGCCTCCCTGCAGCCTCAGGCCGAGAGGGGCCTGGGAGGGGCCTGGGAGGGGCCTGGGAGGGGCCTGCTCTTGATGCCCGCCATCTCACACCTGGGTGCAGCAGGAACGACCCCCACAGAGGCCTCAGCAGCTCCCGGCCTGCGGTTCTGGGCTTGAACCACCTGAGCTTTGGGGGTGCTTCCCGTTCACACAAATGCTCTGCTGCGTCCTAAGCAGGTGGATGCAAGTCTTGCGGGGTGACCGGCCTCCTGGAGGGCTGCTGGGGCCAGGGCTGCCCAGGCCTCGTGCTATTGGCTCAGAGCCCACGGGCTGCGGGGGCGCTGCTCACCCTACTTCTCAGGGTTCCAGGCATGAGAAAGGGTCCAGGGCAAGAACCTACTTAAGGCCCTGGCCGCTGTGGCTCAGTGGATAGAGCGCCGGCCTGCGGACTGAAGGGTCCCGGGTTTGATTCGGGTCAAGGGCGCACACCTCCGTGGCAGGGTCCCGGTCTTGCTAGGGGCACATGGGAGGCAACCAATCGATGTGGCTCTCTCACATCGGTGTTTCTCTCTGTCTCTCCCTCTCCCTTCCACTCTCTCTAAAAATCAATGGGAAAATATCCTCGGGTGAGGATTTAAAACACACACACACCACTTAGAGATGGATTTGGGCAGAGCTAGGTATGGCTAGTTGAAGGATAACCCCATAGGCCTTGAACCGGGGGCGGGCGGGGGGATGCCTCGCTCTGGGAAGGGGACGGTCTTGGTTCCAAAGTACAAATAAGTCAGCGAGTCACCTGGCCCCCGTGTCAGTGTGTGTCCCGCTCCGTGTGGTCAGCTGCACACGCTTCTTTATTGGGAAGTAGGAGCCACGCCTTGTTTGTGCACAGCCCGGGACTGGCCCCGAGTGGGCCCTGCTCTCCTCCGCATGTGAGAACGTGCTGAATGGAGCCCAGCCGGTCGGAAGGAGAGCTGTGTGGTCTGCCAGATGAAGGGGACCCTCACCACCCAGTGAGAAGGCCAACGGAAGACCAGTAGGGGGCGCCTTTCTCAGAGGAGTTTGTGGTTCTAATCCACAGGCAGAAGCCAACACAGGAAGCCTTTCTGTAACCAGACAGCCAGGGGTCCGGGCCGCCTGTCACTACCTGAGCCAATTCGGCAGAGACGGTGAATCCTATGAGCGTGTGTTCCAATCCTGCCGGCAGCGTGGGAGAGCAGCAGGTCACCCACAGAAAGCTGCCCCGCCCCCCCAGCTGCTGTATTGGGTAGAAAGACAGAGATTACAGGGGAAGGAGGCAACGGGTGTGCCAGATGGGCCGTTCACAGGCAAAGCGGCTGGATATGCAGAGGCCTGTGGGTAAGCAAAGGCCTGTGGGTAAGCAAAGGGCTATGGGGGGTGCTGGGGGTCTTCAAAGGGCTGGCAGGTCTGGTTTTTGGCTCTGGCTTCTACAACAAGGTTGTCAATCTTTCCATGATCACAGGCAGCTCCCTGGTGGGGGGGATGGGCCGAATTCCCAGGTGAGCCCCCGGGTCCCACTGCAACTCCCAGCCCGGTGAGCATGCGCCTCTGCAATCAGAACAGCCATCCCGGCCCCAGAGAGGACTCATCTTCCTCACAGTCACCGCGGCCCCGCGTTCCGTTTCTGCCCCATCATTTCCTTGACAGCTCTCCCCGCTCCCTCTGACCCTCCAGAGGGAGGCCAACTCCCGCTCCTCTGCATTCCCCTGAAATATCTAGCGAGCCCTCCGGGGAGCAAAGCGGCGCCAGTCGAGCAGGAGAAGAAATTCCTAGAAGACGGAGCCCAGGCTGGTCTGTTGCCACTGCTGATGAAGCAAGCCCCGTGCGGGGAGCTCGGAGGAGAGCCTGGGGTTTCAGGATGAGTAGCCGTGGCGGCCGCCCACAGTAACGTGTGCCGGAGGCTTCAGAGCTGCTTCCCCCCACCCCAGGTGGGCCCCGGAGCCTTGGGGGCCTCCCTGCTTGGTCCTGGGTTTTCAATGGTGTTAGGTTAGGTGGCTCAGGAGGCAGCGTAGGAAATAAAAGAGTCGAGTGAATCAGAAAAGAAAGGAAAGGTTTTATTCTGCGTCCCCTGGCGACCCACGAACCCCAAAGACAGGGCACGTGGATCCGCGCCAACAGGGAGGGGGGCGCTTTTTTCATACTGCGGTTGGGTGAGGGGCGGGGACATGAGCTGAGGTATTCAGCTGAGGAAGTTCCCGCTGCAGGGGGTCAGCAAGGTATTCAGGAAGGAGTCAGTATCTGTGTGGGGGTCGTGCTGATTCAGGGAGAAGCCGGTATCTGTGTCTGGCATGTTGATCTGTTAGAAATGCCAGGGGGAGTCCATTATCTCGTCACACGTCTGCATGTATCCGATCCTGGGCTCTCTCTGACCTAACAAATGGAACCAGAGGAGGCCTTCGCTGGGCTGGGCCGTGTGCCTCCCCGTGTGTTAGGGGGAGATCCTAAAGTGCTGAGTGCGTCTCCAGCATTGGGACCAGAACACCCCTCCCCGCCCGGGCTGGGCCCTTCGGGGTGAGCTGAAGTCCATGCCCGGCCGGTGTCTGCACACATCGCTGCCCTCGCCTGCGGAAAGTCCGTGTCTCTGGAACGTGGATGTGCGGTTTGGCCAGGACAGAGGCAGTGGCTCCGCACCCAGGCCGGGAGCCCAGGGCCAGTGTCCCACCCTCAGGCCCGCTGGCTTCCTGCTTTGTGCTCAGCCCGGTGCTTCCATCCCAGCATCTCAGGGCCCTGGCAGCCCTGGGAGTCGGGTCATTATCTCCATGACCAGGGAACCCGGGGTCTCCGGCTGTTTGCAGGGCTGGGGTTTCCCAGAGGGCAGTGAGGGGTGCCCTCCTCTGGTTGTTGCTGGGGGACACCTGCAGAGCTCGCGCTCTCCAAGTGGGATGGGGACCGGGCGAGTGCACAGCAGTAATCAGACTGGGAGTGAGCTCAGCGGGCTTGGGGGGACCTTTCCTCCTGGAGGAAACATCACTGAGACCCCAGCCTTCGGGACCCTGAGCTGACCCCATGGAGCTTCTCCAGCCCCTCCCTTAGCAAGTCAGCCAGTGACCGTGGAGGCTCCCAGGGACCCGCTCAAGCCAGCAGCGTGGCCCTGGGCCTCCCCTCTCACCTCTCTGAACCGCCCTGCCTCCCAGGCTCCTGGGCTCTGTGTCTGGAGCGCAGGAGTCCCGCCCGGCTGACATCACAGGGAGCGCAGGACCAGAGCGGTCTGACATCACAGGGAGCGCAGGACCAGAGCGGTCTGACATCACAGGGAGCGCAGGAGTCCCGCCCGGCTGACATCACAGGGAGCGCAGGAGTCCCGCCCGGCTGACATCACAGGGGGCGCAGGACCAGAGCCCGCTCCGCTCTCCGGGAGGAAGCACAGCGGCAAGGGCGCCGGTCCTCGGGGAGAAACCTTCAAAGGGTGTCCCTTCTGACCCTCAGGGTTGGAGGTCACAGTTCATTTTGGGTCAGAGCACATGCCTGGGGTTTCGGGCTCGATCCCCAGTGTGGGGAGTGCAGGAGGCAGCCTATCAATGGTTCTCTCTCATCATTGATGCTTCTCTCTCGCTCCCTCTCCCTTCCTCTCTGAAATAAATAAAAACATATTTTGGATCTATCATTTTAAAAAAAGAAAGAACAAAGGGTGTTGGTTCCTGCCGTCAGGGCAGGAGGGGGGAGGGGGTGGGGTGTGGGAGGGGCAGAGTGGGGAGGCTGGAGCGGGTAAGATCCAGGAAGTTGCACAGGAAGATGG